CGCACTTCAAGTGGTCGGCGACGTGACCAACGACGAAGACGTGCGCCGATTGGTCGGCGTGACGGTTGACAACTACGGCCAGATCGATGTGCTCGTCAACAATGCCGGCGCCGGCAGTTTTGCTACACTCGACAATCCCGGTCTGTTGGACCAGTTGGAGCACATGTTTAAACTAGATGTGCGATCGGTGGTATTGTTGACCCAGTTGGCTTTGCCACATCTGGAAAAGACCAAGGGCGCTATTGTTAATGTGTCTTCAGTGTGCGGCCTTAGATCGGTTAGTAATTAATTGATTTTAATGGTTGTTCACGCTTTTACTCACAACCATGTACTTTATTGGTTATTTAATTAATTATTTTCGACCTGGTTTAATAGTACGCCGGCTGTTCGGCCTATTGTATGGCAAAAACCTCGATCGATATGTTCACAAAGTGCATCTCGTTGGAGTTGGGCCCCAAAGGTATCCGGGTGAACGCTGTCAAGTAAGTTAATTTATTACATACATAATATAAGATTAAATGAATGTGTTAAATTAATTTCTATTTAAATAAATTAATTTAGTCCGACAGCCGTTAGGACCGGCTTTCAGAACAACTCGGGCGCCGGCGATGTGTTCAACGGAATGGTGTCTCACTTGGAGAATACGGTACCGTTGGGTAAACTGCCCGAACCCTCGGACGTGGCCAACGCTGTGCTATTTCTGTCGTCTCCCCGGGCCGCTTTTATTACTGGCCATTCACTGCCTGTCGATTGTGGCAGTCTTAATGCATAGATGTACCATGCACATTTTCACGTCTCTTTATACTAATTTAGTGATACCCACTTGGTAATTGTCAGAAACTTTAATCTTGGTGACTTATTATTTAAAAAACTATTGTGTATTTTAACATATTTGAATTTATATTAATTTAACGTTACAAACTGTAATAAAAATACAAAAAAAATATTTGATGTATATTTATTACATTGGTTAATTAATTTTGGTCTCCAACACTATCTCTTTCTTTTTTTATTTTATTCACTATTAAATTAATATTTTTATTTAATTTATTTTCTATTTTAATAAAATTACGATCTTTATTTTATGTTTTTAAAATTTTTATTAATAAAATTTATTATTAGATATTTAATGTAATACACTCAGCAAATTACTTTGTAAAGTACACACTCAATAAACTTTTCAAAAAATTAAGGTATTTTGAAAATTATTAACGTTAGGACCAACGAAAGGACACTGTTCTGAGTAGTCTAAAAAGGATTTTATGGTCACCCTACTAATGTAACATATTTTTATTAACAGAAATACTTGTATTTTAATTTTATAATATGTAAACAATTACAATAAAAATGAATCAAAAATATTTTAACATTCATAAATCAAGCACATTGTAAAACAATTAATTTGTTACTTCTTATTAACATGATCCTCATGATTATGTTTAATATACGGTTGCAATAGTGTGTCCAAAAACTCTTGCTCACTCTGATCCAGATCATCAACAGCTCGTGCAAAATCGCAACCGCCAATCCACAGTTTACCGTCCTGGTAATCGCCACTCAAAATATACTCCGCACCAGTTTTCAGATAACTGACCCCGCACGAATGGTCCGGCGAGTATATCTGGCCAGCTTTCAGTGCCGCCCAAAGACCCTGATCATTGGTGGCCCGTCTGTACACGTGCTGTAGTTTTGTTGAATAGTGGTAGAGATGGTGCTGATCGCCGCCCGCGCCGTACGGTTGCATTGTTATGCCGGTGCTTTTGACTACAGCTCTCACCATGTATTTGGCGGTGTTGTATGAGTTTTGAATGGTCGGCACCGGTGAGCACTTACACCCAAAACAACCGTATATTATACTCACAAACGTAAGGATAGTCAGTAAATTCATTGTGATATTTTTGATTAACAATTTGATAGACAAATTGATTTTATTTGACTTTATGTAATGTATACTCTAATGTTAATAGTAATTTGTATCTAAATCAACCTTGCAGTTTATTTATATACTTTTAAGGTATGTAAATTATCTGTAAACAATATGTTAGGTGTGTTGAAACATGATTATGTCATTTATACATGATTTATTTATACTAATTATAAATGGCATTTGAAAACTACTGTATGTAATTTGTTATTGACATTGAATTACAAGTATAAAGAGTATTACAGATCATTTTAAATTCTCTCTTTCTTTCTCTCTCTCTCTCTCTCTCTCTCTCTCTC